TTGTTGACAAACAAACATTTGCACAAGGTCTCAAGGAATGTTTATTTTGTAAGCGTGGTAAATATGAATAGTTTTTATTTTTACAACAATAATAACCAAGTGACATGCACTATGAGAATTATATTTGCCATACTGCAGCATTTCAGTGGTGCTTGCAAGGATTCCTTGAAGTGAATCGCTTAAAGATATGTACCTTTTTATCTTTCATGGAACAACTAAAGAATATGTCCAGTAGTGCTTGTGTTCTATGTCCAAGAATTTCACAAGTCCAAAATAAACTTACCAAAGGAATACTCATGATCCATGACTCAATAGTCTATGCATGCTCAGATACCAATCTTGGCAAATTTCTGTTCCATTACATAATGTTTTGCAACAAAGAAAATAGGGATCTTTCGAGTAAAATTTATCACATTTCCTTCAGTGGAATTTCCTAAGATTTGCTGGACCGTTAAGCATATTTGTGTCCTTCCTAGGGCCTATCAATTAAAAAAAATTCATAGGACCAAATTTGAGATAGAGGAAGAAAACACAAAAACTGAAAATAGCAAGAAAATTTCTTTTCTAACCCTAGTTATTTTCAGCTTTTAAATGACTGTCAGGACAATTTTCACAACTTGTGAAAATTTTGAGAGATTTCACCAAAGAAAATTGAAGAAAATCAAAGGCAAAGCCAAATTTTCACCGGTGAGTGCCTCCCTTTGTGGGACCTGAGCTTAATATTGAAAATAATTTTCTTAATATATACTGCAGCAAGCAATAGTCCAATCCTTGCTCGCTGCCTTTTGATGGCTTTTAATGACATAGAAAAGTGAAAACATAAAAATTTCCTAGAAAAACAATACACTGGTGCACACACTAATGTTGAACAAAAACCCTATGGAGCTGCCTTAATACAACTACAACAATCACCACCAGATGAGTGTTTGGTGGTGAGGTAACACACTTAAGTGGTAAGATTAATAATTTAACACAAAGTTTATCAATTATAGATATTCTGTTAATTGACTGCTTCGATTTGAGTTTTATCAAAAAACTTGTATGTTTTACAAAACCCTGACTTACTGGTTTTTGTAGTTATTTTAAACTCTGTGAGACAATTGGATCTGGCCACTTAAAAAGCACAAATTTTACACTTTGATGCCAAGCTCACTGGTCGCCAGCCTTCCTGATGGCAAGGTGACTGGGTACCTATATAATTATTGACTGATCAACAGTGTGAGTAATACAAATGTTCTTAAGACAAGCGATCTACATGCAGCTTTGGACGT